TTTCTTTTTTAGCCATTAATGCATCCAATGCCCTGGACAAGGCCAGTGGGAGGGGTGGACACAAGGAGGGCACTGCCTCAGGGGACTGCTTATTCTTCCTGGAAATTCCATCAGCTACCCCATCAGATCGTAGGCCTGCCCATAGTGTGTCACTTTCACCTCTGCCCCAGTGCGAGGGGTAGGGAGATGTGACTGAAGATGTGCTGCCCATGCAGTTCCCACCAGGACATGAAGAGAACAAGCACTTGGCGCAGCTGAGGAACTAGATTGTAACTTTCATGTCCATTCCGATTGCATATAGCCATGGTGGCTAGTGGCTAGCATGCTGGACAGCAGATCTAGACAGTGTTTAATACAAATGCAGGTACCATGATGCTGGAGAAAATATTCCATGTGGTCTTGGTATCAATCCCAGTCAGCTCTGGGATTTGTTCTTCTTGCTCGTCGTGGAACCACACCTCTGTGAGGTGCCTGAGGGGGCATCTCTAAGCTGCCCTGAGTCAGACTGCTGCAAAACCAGCTGCTGCTTCTCAGTCCCGAAGACATGGCACTGATTCCACACAGAGCAGCACTGCATCAGTTCTGTGGATTCTCATGGAAGAGATGGCCTGGGTTTCCCAGGTGAGAGGAGAGAACTCAGAAGGCCAGAGAGGGTTCTCATAAGAGACAATGATTAGTATTTTATTCCCAGACTACAGGTGCAGTTGTTTGTAAGCAACAGGCCTTTTCTCATTGGCCCTGTTTGTAGGTGTTAGACTTGGTGCAACAGAGGAAGGTCACACAGGAGGCTCTGGCACAACAGCTGGGAGTTGAAGCTTTGCAGTCCCATCCTCAGCTCCAGGAGGGAAGAGCTCGCTTGCTGTGGAGTACTTTCCTCATTCTCAGCATGCACTATGTTCTCTTGAAGAGCAGCAGAAGGAAGTCCATGTGTGCTCTGTAATCACTGTGGCATTACCCAGGGCTTTTGTGAGAAACCCGTGCCTGGTCTGCATAAAATCTCTTCTGTGAATCCTGCAGAACTGGGTAACTTGTCTTAAATGGATGTAAATGCCACTGAGGAAAGTCCCCTGCCTCCTTTTCTTAGGAAAGAGGCAGTAAGCATTTTCAGGAGCCACGAGGCTTCCCTCACAATGGGACACATGGCTATCAGACACATGACCACCCCAGCACTGCTGTCCCTGGGACACTGCCTGCTGATACCTGCTGTTCGCACAATTGTTTGAATCTGGTTTATGGTACTCTCACACTTGAGAAACCCAGGGCTTCATCTTCCAATGCCGTTCATCTGGTCTTTGCAAAGGAGTGGGAGGAAAATCAATAGTTTTTAACTGGATTATTTGCTCAATAAATAGCCCAGTGTGTCTAAGATCCATGAATTAATTTTTAGATTTCATGCCCACATGGCTCTTTAAAACCTGTAGATAAATAGCTGTTCATTTAGCAAATAAAAGTGTTTAATTACATTTTGTACACAATATACATATAAGTAAAGCAAACGTAATGGAAAATATGGAATTTTTTTTAAGGTTTTTGCCATAGGGTGGTTGTGCCCACTAGAGAGAAAAACAGAGAGAGGGAAGTGAGAAATCACCCCTCAGGGAGATGGCCATGCTGCAATCCCTCCTCCATCTTCCTCTCACGATTCGGAGCATATTCACACACATGCCTAGTGTGATTCTCAAGCCACCGGTCCAGCACTCCACCACAGTTGGCCATGTAGAAGTCCAGCGTCTTAACTACCACACCACCTACTGGCTTCAAGGACATTAGCTTCCATGATCTAATGTCAGAATCTTAAAATGATTACATCT